GCCCGGCTTTTTTCTTACTTTTTGAGACAGGGTCTCGATATGCTGTTCAGGCAGGCCTTGAGCTCACTTTGTAGCCCAGGCTGGTCTCGAGCTCGCAACGATCCTCCTGCCTCAGCCTCCCCAGTGCTGGGATTACAGGCATGTGCCACCACGCCCGGCTCCCTGTTAAATTTTAAATGACCTGTTTTTAAATGTGAGATTTACCTAATGACCATCAGTTAAAAATATATTTCAAATGAAGAGACCCAATTCCATTGTTAGATAGTAACTCTGTAATATAATTAGATGATATATCCCTAGAGGTTACAGTTAAGCCCCGTATATTAATTTCTAAGGAAATATTTAATGCTTTTGGGGTGCATTTTTTCATTGTTGAAAAGTACTCAAGAAAGTTTTTTAATTTATGCTAGTATGTGTTAATGCTTTTTGGTATATACTTTATTGTTACATTATTAAGATTGGACAAAGTCAATCAAATGATGCCTCAAATTCTTTTCTTTCATTTTTGCTGAGGACCAAACCCAGGATCTTGAGCATGCTAGGCAGGTATTCTGCCACTGAGCTACTTGTCAGCCCATAATGTCTGAAATTTTAAGCTTCAATGATTTAAGAAAATGATAGTGTTCAAGAAATACTTATTTTTTATTTATTGTCTTTTTGAGACAGGGTCTCTCTGTGTAGTTCAGGCTTGCCTTGAGTTCACTTTGTAGCCCAGGCTGGCCTCAAACTCGCAGTGGTCCTCCTCCCTCAGTCTCCCGAGGGCTGTGATTACAGGTGTGTGTCACCACGCCTGCAAGAAATATTTATTAAGCATCTGCTGTCAGCCACTTTTCTCTTGCTACCCTCTTAGAACCTGAGTTAAGTCATATATGTATGTACAAATATGGTAAAAGTTTTTCATACAATAGTAACTATAAATGTAAAGATTTTGAGATGAATTTGACTTATTCAGGAAATGCGAAGTGCATTTGGGACACAGTAAAAGAGGAGTGGTGGGAGATGAGATCTGGGTGGCTAATAAGTTTTCTGTCTGTAATGGGAAGCCATTGTAGAGCTTTGTGCAAGGAAGTGATACCTGTTTATCATCGCAGATTGGTGGATGAGGTAGAGGAAAGTAGGGAAACCGACTCTTAGCCTGGTGCTTGTATTGCGCTACTTGAGACATGGTAGCTTGAACTAGAGGTGTAGAGTTGAAGTTAGTAAGAAATGCTGTGATTTGAAATAAATTTTAAGCTGGGACCAGAGAAAATTTCATCAACTGCTTTGCCTGAGCATCTTGTGAATAGTCATGCCATTCATAGGGAGACTAGGGAGGGAACGCTGATCTCTGAGAGAGCTATCCAGAGTTGTGCATGAGACTGACTGGGTTTAATAACCAATGAGAGCTGAGAATTTGTGTAGAAGGCAACTTGGACGTCGACCACTGGCACTCAGGGGAGAAGCCGGACTAGGAAAATAATCTGGGGGTCATATCTTACGGATGCTGCTTAAACCTGTGGGCTGGAGGTCATCCAGTAGGGAATGCTAATGGAGAACAAGGGGGAGGACTGGGCGTACGCTGGTCAGCAGAGGACTGTCGTAGAAGAGCCAAGAGTAGCATCTGGGGTACAAAGGAAATGTTTCTAGGAGGGATGTAGGCCCTGTGAAACACTGCTACGAGCCCAGTAAGGATAAAAAAAAAATTAATCACGTGACCAAGCAAGGAAAGTCACTGAAATCTGATAAGATCATTTTGAGTATATTGGAGTGGATTAAGAAGTAGGCTGGGCGTGGTGGCACAAGCCTATAATCCCAGCACTCAGGAGGCTGAGGCAGGAGGATCCTTGAGAGTTCCTGAGACCAGCCTGACCAGCCTGTACTGGCTACAAAGTGAGCTCGAGGCCAGCCTGAACTGCATAGCGAGACCCTGTCTCAAAAAGACAAAAAGTAGATGATAGCCGGGAGGGGTACATTAGAGGTAGAGTGTGTGCCTGAGGCCCTGGCTTCAGTCTGGAGCACCAGAGGAAGGAGGCGGGTGGATGGCTGGGAGTGGCAAGGGTGGCAGTGACTGCAGAAGCAAGTCCTAGAGTGAGGGGGTCAGAGTCAGTACTTAAGGGGAAGGGTTAGCTTGGCCCAGACCGATGGTTTTTGATCAGCCTTTGAGACAAAGCGATTGGGCAGTATACATGGTTTATAGATGGAGGCAGTCAGGGTAGAAAGACAGGCAGTTGAAATGGTTTATGTTTAGTTTATCATTCTAAAGGTTCCTTTAATTTTATAATATATAGAATTTGTGATTAGATATAATGAGCATATCTGCTCATACTTGTTTTGGTTTTGGGAGTATGGTTTTTTGTTGTTGTTCATTTGCTTGTGGGTTTTTTGTTTTTTGTCTTTTTTGTCTTTTTAAGACAGGGTCTCACTATGCAGTTCAGGCTGGCCTTGAACTCACTTTGTGTTCCAGGCTGGCCTCAAACTCACAGTGATTGTCCTGCCTCAGCCTCCCGAGTGCTGGGAGTACAGGTGTGCTCCACCAAACCCGGCTACTTTTTATAATTTGAAACAAAGGACTTTGTAGATACTACTGACTCTAAATCAGAGAAGAAGTAGTGTACAGGGGTGAGGCAGACATTCAGTGGGAACATGCATTTGTGATATGTGGGCCTGCCTACTTAATAAAGATGGGAAGTTGAGTTTTAATATGTTGCAGGGGGAAGATTAATTTCAAATGGATTCAGTTACAAAATGGTAGCTTTAAAAGGGACTTGTACACACAAGTTAGTCCCATTGCCTTGTTTGGGAGATGAAGAATCAGAAGTTCTGTCGCTTAACCTGTACCTTGGTTAGGATAGAAATGTCTAGTGTAGAGTATGAATTCAGATACGGAGATAGTTTTGTGTCCATATAAGGTACTGTATTCATTGCAATTCATTTGGTAGGACTAGTTCTTAATTTCTTTTTCTTTTTTTTTTCTTTTTCTTTTTTTTTTTTTTTTTGGCACCAGGAATCGAACTCATGACCTCACGCTTGCCATTGCCAGACAGGCACTTATGCCACTGAGCTGTGTCCCAGCCCTAGGCCTTAATTTCTTTGTGGTTAGAGACCCTCAAAAATCTGAGAAAAGCTTTGTACCTTTTTTCTCTTACCTGGAACTACAGATAAACCCAAAAATGCACATAGTGATTCAAAGGTGTGAGATTCTACTGCTCCTGATCCATGAACTCTTAAGAGTAAAGGACTGAATGTTAAGAATCTGCAAAGTTTTTACATTTTTCAGCGTCTGAACAATTCAGAGACATTGTATTTTGTAACATGTAAAATTTAAATTTCTGTGCCGGGAACGAGGTTTGGTGGAAACGCAGCCACGCCCTCGTCTGCATCTTGTGTGGTGCTCTTGCGCTCTAGTTGCGGAGTTGGAGCACTTGTGACGTAGCCCTCATGGCCTGTTGGGCGTGAAATACTACTCTCTGGTCCTTTGCAGAAAGCGGTTGTGCCGCCTCCCCCAACACTCCCATTAAAGTATAAGTTCTGCTGCGGGGTGGCGTATTTATTTTGCCCACAGATTTTTCCCAAGCATCTGGAACAGTGACAGTGAACCTTTCAGAGCTTTCAGTGATACAGATGCTTCACCACCACTGATCTAGAACAATACCTGGCACACGGTAGGCCGTGTGTGTGTAGAAATCAACCTTTGGTGTTGAGGTGGAGTCATAGAAGTTAGTGTTTTAATGTTTACCATGTGCAAATTACTGTGCTAAGTGATTTAATGTAACTTGTTTACAACCCTGTGAGGCACATGCTGTATTACTCCCATTTTATTATTCAGGAAACCAGGTACAGAAAGTCATGTAATTTCCCTCATGGTACCACAGGTAGGAATTGGCAAAGGCTGTCTACAGTGTATTATGTGGAGAGCTAAAATGAAATCTTCTGGACTGATAGACACTAGCAAAAGAATGGTTAGGTGGGAGAAAGTAGTGTAGCAAAGAAAGAGTTGCCCAAAATTATATTAGGCGTTCAAGACCCGTGTCACGAGTCACAGTGCTGCCCCCTCTCTGGCCTGTCTTCCTACACTCTGACCAACTCCTCTGGTTAGACTGGTCCCTTGTGGTCCCTCCCTTCGGTGCTCTTACAGACAACCGTGACTCGCTCCCTCATTTTTTCTTTAGATCTCAGGCAAGTGTCACCTTTTTCGCCACCCTGAATAAAAAAGCAACCTCATCTGCTTGCTGTCCCCCTTCCCTGTGTACTTAACCTGGCTTTATTTTTCCCCGTAGCGCTTTTCATTTCACACACTATTTTGTTTTGGTTTTTTTGTCTCCACTGTTCTCATGAAGCCAGAATCTTCGTTGTGTTCCTCATGGGGTCAGGTGTCTGGGACAGCACTTGGCATACCAACCTTGTTCAGTAACTATTTACTGCACGAGGGAATTTGTAAACTAGTTTCCAACAACACTGAGTTACTCTGTATCGCTGTTTGACTTTTTTTATACTGTTTACTTAGCCTGGATCACCCTCTTCTTCCAGTTTTATTGGGGTAAAAACATTTGTCTTAATGCTTCCATCTTTCTGACATGGGGTCCCATTACGTAGTTCAGGCTGGCCTCAAATTCATTGTCTGCCTCAGGTCCCTTGTTGAGATTACAGGTGTGCATCACCACACCCATTTTGGCCCAGCCTCCCAAGTAGCTTGATGTGATTTCTGCTACGGTGATGCTGCCTGGAGCGGATTGCAGGGCCTCTCTGTAACCTGAGGGATGAAATAGATTCTCTCCTGTTACTAAAGTTTCTACTTTAAATGTTTCATTTTCTTCACCTTTTCCGTCAAGGCTAAATTTAAAATATTGGTCAAGACTTCTTAGAGAACATGGTAGTTAGATATGGTGTTTCCCTGTTAGGGACATAAAGAAGAATATTGATATAGGAAGATCCTTTTAAGAGATACTGTTGTATGTTGTTAAAACACAAATTATTGAAAAAAAATATTTTCCTGTAGGTATCATCTTATTTTGTAAAATTTAAGACTACTCAAAAATTACATTTTTTACCATTTCATTATTTTATTTATTTATTTAGTTCCAGGAATTGAACTCAAGACCTGGCTCTTGCCAGGCAGGCGCTGTGCCACTGAGCTAAATCCCTGGCCCTCATTCTCATTATTAAATTTTACTTTTTGTGTTTTGTTTTTTTGTTTTTCTCCTGTCACTATTAAATTTTAGAACTTTGGTGCCCTGTACTTGCTTAGGAATTTGCTCCTTATGGCTGAACTCCACTGCGTGCGTACACCACATTTACCACATTTCCTTTAGCCGTCTTCATCTGCTGATGGGCCCCTCGGTTGCCTTTGCATCTTAGCTGTTGTAAGCTGTGCTGCAGTAAACAAGGGTATGCAGGTATCCCTATAGCAAGATGACTTTGATCCCTTCGCGTATGTACCAGGGAAGGGTATATAGCTGGATCATATGGAAGTTCTATTTTTATGGGTTTTTTTGTTTTGGGGGGGGTTTGCTTTTTGTTTTAGGCAGGGTCTTGCTGTATAGTTTAGGTGATCCTCATGTCTCAGCCTCCCAAGTGCTGGGTTCTTGGGCATGTGCCACCACACATGGTTGGCACTATTTTCAGTTTTTGAGGAGCCTCAATACTTATCTCTGTGTTAGCCGTACTAACTTCCACTCCCACCCGTTGTATGGACGTGTCCCTTTTCCTCATTCTCGCCAGCGTTTGCTTAGGGTTCTTCATGGGGGCTGTTGTGACTGGTGTGAGGTGGGGTTTCATTGTTCTGATGTGTTTTCTAAATGACTAAAAGGTGATGAATAGCTTTTCACATACTTACTGACCATTTCTATTTTCTTGGTGTTTATTTACCCATTTAATTGAGCTGTTTGGGGTTATTTGTGTGTGTGTGTGTGTGTGTGTGTGTGTGTGTGTGTGTGTTGTTTTGAGTGTTTTATATATTCTAGAGAGTCCTCTGTTGGAAGAATAGCTGGCAAAGAGTTTCTTACTCTCTCTTCTCTGCTGTGCAGAAACTTTAATATGGTGTCTCATTTGTTGATTCCTGCTATTATTTTTTGTGCTATTAGAGACTAATTCAGGGGGCTTTTGCCTGTGCCTGTGGTTTTACATGTTTTCCTGTAGCAGTTTTAACATTTCAGGTCTTGTACCTAAGTCTTTCATCTGTTCTGAGGTGATCTTTGTGCAGAATGAGAGGTTAGGATCTAGTTGCCATCCTCCACATATGGGTATCCCTTTTCCTCAGCACTATTGGCTAAGGAGGCTGTCTTTTCTCTAATGTGTATTTTGGTTCCTTTCTCAAGAATCAGATGGCTGCAGTTGTGTAGGTTTGTTTCTGTGTCCTGTATTTTATTTCAGTGGTCTGTACGTCTAGTTTCATGTCAGTGCCGTGCTGTTCTTGTTACTTGGCTGTGTGATAATTTGAAATTGAGTATTGCTCCAGCTTTGCTCATTGCTCCAACTTTGTTCTTTTTGCTTAGGATTGCTTTGGGTATTTTGGGCCATCGGTATTTCCGTATGAATTTTAGGATTTCTTTACTGGATCTGTGAAGAACGTCATTGAAATTTTGATGGGAATTGCATTGAATCTGTACATCACTTTTGGCAGTGTGACCATTTTAACAGTTCTGCAGTTCCACGAGCATGGGAGTGTTACTGGGTAGTTCCTTTAGAAACAGCTCGTCAGTCAAAAATATTCCAGGTCCTTCTTACCTCAGACAAAGAATCAAATGAGACAAGCCCAAAATGGTGCCAGAGGTTTATTTGAAAAGTGAGGAGCAAATGGAAGAAACCAGCTCTGCCCAGTGAGCTTGGGCAGAGTAAGAGAAGTAGAAGACAAAGTATATGGTGCCTCTGAGAAACACAGCGTGGGCTGCTACGGGAAGTCGCGATAGAGCTTCCCTTGGCACCTGGTCTTTAGGTTGCCCGCGTCTCCTGGGAGCTTGCGAGAAGTCCTGCACGGAGGCCTCAGGCATCGCCCTGGGGTCTTGTAATGAACGGGTGCTGCTCATTCCCAGCCAGCTTTGCCACATCTCTGGCTCCTGCATCGGGCGTTCTTTCCATCTTGCAGTGTCTCCAGTCTTTTTCCAGTGTTTTGATACTTGCATTGTGAGGTTTTTGACCACCTTGGTTAGGTTGATCCCCAGATTTTTTAATGTGTTTCTTTAATATTATGAATGGAGTTTTTCTGATTTTTTTCAGCTAGTTATTGGTATATAGAAAGATGTTTAATGTTGATTTTGTCTACTGTCCCTTCCAATTATGATGTCATCACTCCCCCCGCCCCCCAGATTCCACATATTAGGGAAAGTGTCCCTTAGTCTGGTTTATTTCACTTAACATGCTCTCCAAGTTCCTTCCATTTTCCTGCAAATAACATAATTTAATTTGTTTTTATGAACAGTTCTGCATTGTGCATATTTCTTTACCCATTCATCTGTTAATAAGCACATAAGCTGATTCCATATGCTACAAATCCCATGGGTGTGCAGATAGCTCTGTAGTATGCTGGCTTTATTTCCTCCCTGTGTATACCGAGGAGAGGTATAGCTGGATCAAATGACAGCTCTATTTTTAGCTTGTTGAGGCACCTGCCTACTGGTTTCTAGTTTATATTGTTTGTATTAGCAATATATAAGATACAAGTGTATTGTATTTCTTCCTGCATCTTTTTGGTGATGGTGGTTATTGTTCTAGAGCTTGAACCCAGGACCTTTGCACTGAATTACATCTCTAGCCTTTTTTGTTTTTTAATTTTGAGACAAGATTTTCATCAAATTGTCCAGACTAGACTCAAACTTTCAATTCTCCTGCCCCAGCCTACCACAGGTTGGAATTACAGGTGTGGACCACCATTTTTTTTGAGACAGGGTTTTGATATACATTTTAGGCTGGCCTTGAACTTCGGTTGTAGCTCAGGCTGGCCTCAAACTGCAGTGATCCTCCTGCCTCAGCCTCTTGAGTGCTGGGATTACAGGCATGTGCCACCACACCCAGCTATACCACCGTTTCTGTTCACTTTTTTTTTCCTGTTCACTCTTTGTTTCTGTGTGTGTTTTGAGCCAGAGTCTTGCTGTGTAGTGCAGGTTGGCCTCAAACACAGCCTCCCAAGTGCTGGGATTACAGGCATGCGCCACCGCCCAGCTTCCTGTTCACTCTTCACGTGGCATGCACTTCACAACCTTTCCCCTCACTGCTACCACCCCCAGTCAGTTTATCATGGTTATGTTATTTGTCTGTTTGAAATATTCTTCCTGCAATTTTGAAGCCTGTACTAGCTCACAAAACATTGTGGTACTTTTCAGTTTGATAGACTTGTGTGTTGGAATCATGATTAAGGACACATTAGATAGTAATGAATGAAAACGTGTCTGTTACAACGTTAATCTTAATACTACATTTTTATATTTTCAGGAAACCACTAAAGTTCCTGTGGAACCAGAGTAGAATTTTAGAAGAACATAATGGGTAAGTTATAGAAAGGTAATTTCTCTGTTTCAATTAGTAGAAGCTAGTTTTTCTTCTCCAGTAAAGAAAGATGGGCCTTCTGAGTCGTTGAACGCAAGTCAGGAAATAGCTAAACTGAAATGAGTTGTTATGTCAAGAGCTTGTTTATTGTATATTCCTGAAAGGCAGATTAGTAAGAGTATTGTGCCAGATCTAGTTGATAATATCTAGTGAGTAATTGCACCTTCAGAAATTTGTAGCTTTCCTAACATAAAGTGGTTTGTCTTGCAAAATATATTAGAAACAGTTTCAAACTGAAATAATTGATATTTTAAAATTTTTCTTAGATGTTGGCAAAAAAACTGCTAGAAATCCATGCACTTGAAGTCTTAATTGTGAAGCTGTATCTTTGGGTCCTCCAGATTTTTTTTTTTTTTTTTTTTATGGAAAATTGCAAGAATAATACCCTGTCATAGCTTTTCGTAGATGGTGAATGTTTTGTCGGATTTGCTTTCTCTGCATGCTGTGTGCTGCTCCTCTGTTGTTGAGTGTTCATACAACACTTTGCACCTGCGTACTTCTGCATTTGTCTTCTAATTTAGTCCATGTCAGAATTTTCCAGCTGTTTTGGTAGTGTTCTGCACAGCAGGTTTTTTGTTGTTTTTGTTTTTTCTTTAATCCAGGACTCAATAAGGTGTCCCTTATTGTATTAGCTTGTTTTTTTAGTTTCCTTGTTTGGCTTGTTTTATTTTGTTTGGTTTTGTTTTTGAGACAGTCTCACCCGAGTCGAGGGTAGTTCACTACACAGCCCAGGCTGCCATTCTCCTGCCTCAGCCCCATGCTGGGCCTGCAGGCCTGAGCCACCACGCACAGCTTCTCTGGTGTCCTTTAAATGGTATTCCCTGTGTTGGGGCATGGAGCAAGGTTCTTTGGTGACAAAAAAGTTATGCTGAGCAGATAGTTGCAGCTGAAGCCAGGATAGATACCTGCTAGCAGATGCACTCTCTTCTCACCTTTTTTTTTTTTTTTTTTTTTTCCATTTTGGTAGTGGTGCTAGGGATTGAACCCAGGGCCTTGTACATGGTAGACAACCACTGTACCACTGAGCTTCTCTCTCTCCTAAGCTGAGAAGGAGAACTGCCCATCCGCCTCTCTGCCCAGCAATCAGTTAACAAGATGCGACAGCTTATTTAGTGCTTCAAGGAGCTCCCATGTTCTCGGGCTGGCTTCTTCCTGCACATGTAATTACTCTCCAACTTCAACACTAGCCTTGAACTCACGGTGCTGCTCCTGCCTCAGTCTCTCGAGTGCTGGGATTACAGGCGTGCGTCACCATGCCTAGCTTCTACTTTGAATTTTTAAAGACTGATATTTTGTGTGTATTACTTCAGTCATCCAGTAATTTAAATTTACAATAAATAATTCTAAGATTGCTTTTATGGATCAGAAATAAAATGGTGAGTGAAAGAAGCTTCAACTTCTAGACTTGGGATTTCCAAAGCAAGGTTATCTAATATGGCATATAAACATTAAATCATAAACTATGCATTTTATTTCTTTTGGGTTTTTTTGTACCAGGAATCAAACTCGGGACCTTGCGCTTGCCAGGCAGGCGCTTGTGCCGCTGAGCTATATCCCCAGCTGTGCATTTTATTTCTAAAAAAGGATTCCACATATAATTAAAGTCATACCATTTAAATATTTTTATCTTAGGTTTCACATTAGAATGTGCTACTTTTAGTAGCACAAAAAAATACTTCCTTGAAAATTTCTGGTAGGTTTTTCACCTAGTGTTGTATTCTTTGATCCAGAGTTTGTAGGACAGTGGAAGATATTTAGCAAATAGTAAAACAAGGTGTTAAAAACTTAAGTCTTGGTAACGGTACCTTTCAGAAATGTTTTTGATCTTGAAGCCCTTAAATGTTAACCTAACTCATCCATCTATCTTTCCTTCGCTCCCTCCCTTCTGCCCTGGCATGGAACCCAGGGCATTCTACCATTGAGGTACATCCCTAGTGTTTATTTTCTGTTTTGACCTAGCTTTGCTGATTTTCCCAGCTTGACCTCAAATGTGTGCTCCTTCTGCCTCACCCTCCCACACTACCGGGATTACAGGCATGTGCCCCTACTCCAGGCACTGTTCTTTTTAATGCTGTGCATATGTAACACAAAACTCACCTCATTACTTACTTTAGATGGAGAGGAGAAAACCTACGGTGGCTGTGAAGGCCCTGATGCTATGTACGTCAAATTGATATCTTCTGACGGTCATGAATTTATCGTAAAAAGAGAACACGCACTCACATCAGGAACAATAAAGGCCATGTTGAGTGGCCCCGGTAAGTGCAGTTCTTTGTTTTCCTTTGTATTTCTTTTGTTTCTGGAATGTGTTTTTTAAGTTGAATCAAACAACTCTGAACATTTAAAGTGAGAGTTACTCTTCCAACATTATTGCATGATTTTATTGATTGGGAAAAAACTGGCTTGTGCCCTTTTCTGTTCTTGGTTATTGACTCTCTAAAGACTAAAGTGATTGTATTGCGATAGAAAGATGTTTCCCTACGTTGGGTTTCACTGTCAACGCCTTCACTACAACTGATTCGTGATTTTGTTCTAATTGTGTATAAAGTTTATAGAAGTTACCACTTTCCAGATCGATTCTTAACCTTTTCTTCTTGAAATAAATTTAGTGTTAAAAATTCACATAAATTAAATTTTAAAGTGTACAGTTAGCAACAGTTACTGCCTTCACAGTGTTGTGTGACCATCGCTTCTAATTCCGAGACCTTTCCAGTATTCTCGAAGGAAACTCCGTACTCACTAGGCTTTTGTTGTCTGCTCTCTCCCCACCCGTATTCAGCAGCTAACAGTCTGCTGTTAATGTACCTGTTCTGGACATTTCATACAAGCGGCATCATAAAATAGATGCCCTGTGTGCCTGGCTGTTTCCGCCTGGCATTGGTGATTCCCAGACTCGCTGTGCTGGGTGGCAGGAGTGGCAGTGCTGCTAAGTGAGAGTTGATTGGGTGAACGTGCCACATTTTCTGTTCTTCAGCTGATGAATTTTGGGGTTGTTTCCACCTTAGGCTACGATGAGTTGTGCTGCTGTGGACATTTGCGTAGCGATTATTTATTTGAATACCTTCTTTCGTGTCTTTTGTATATATTCTTTGGAGTGGAATTGCTTGATCATTCTTAGGTTTAACTTCTAGAGGAATCGCTGAAATGTTTCCACAGCAGAAGAACCATTTATGTTTTTACCAATAGATAGCATAACAGAGCTTTTACGTGTCCTGGCCAGTATTTGTGGTTACCTCCTTTTTTGGTTGGGTTTTTTTTCCCCGCCAGTACTGGGCATTGAACCCAGGGTCTTACACATGCTAGGCTGTGCTCTACCACTGTGGTCCATCCCCAGCCCTTCTTGGTTGTAGCTTTCCAGGTGAACGTGAAGTGATACTTCATTGTGGTGTCGGATTTGTTTTTCCATAATGCCTGATGTTGACTGTCTTCACGTGCCTTACAGCCACTTGTATATCTTTGGAAAAGTGGTGAAGCCTTTTGCTCAGGCATTCCTCCACTGAGCTCCCTGGTGGTGTTTTTCCTGATGATATTATCCGGAGCAATTAAATAATGTTAATTTTGAAAAATACTTTTTCATTTTGTTGAAATATGATTTATTTTTCTATTTTATTTTTCTTTCACTTCTAAATCCATTGCCAAATCCAGCATCACCACAGTTTCATGAAGTTAGATTCCCCTGTATTTTCTGCTAATTTTATGGGTTCAGCACTTTTATCTTTGGTTTTAATTTCTATGATGTAGAGTAATTGTTCAGCTTCATTCTTTTGCACGTGGTGCCATTTGCTGAAGAGGCCATCCCTTCCCTTCTGCATGGTCTTGGCACCTTTGTTAAAAGTCAGTGGACACAGATGTGCGTGGGTTTAGTTCTGAGCTCGTGGCTCTGTCAGTCTGTTTATTCTTACACAGGTACCGCAGTGTTTGATTACTACATCTTTGTAGTAAGTTTGATACCTGGGCTGTCTGAAGCTTCTAATTTTTATTTGTGTCAATGTTGTTTTGGTTATTTAGTATCCATTACAATTGCTTTTCTGCATTTTTGGTATGGAAATACTAGAAGTAGTGAGAACGGTGTAATAACCCTCCATGCATTCATCAGCCACCTTGAGTAGTTCCTGACATTTTGTCCATCGTATCTCACTTCACCTCTCCCTGCCCTCCCTTTAATTCAGTATTTCAAGCAGACTCGCACTTCACTTGCAGACTGTCAGAGTTCTCGTGTACCTTCCCATTTTCACACAAACTGTCAAGTTTTTCAGAGAAACGAGGTCATTGGTGTAATGCCCACGTTTTGGATTTATTTAATATTTCTTCCTATACGCTCAGAATTGTAGAGATTTTATTAGACTCTAGTTCTTATTTCTAGTCAAGGGTACTTTATAAATGCTATTTTTGTATTCTCTCAACTTGTGAGGGTTTTTCATTGCTTTTTGCTTTTTTTGTCCCGTTCATGGTTCTGGGGATGGGGCCCAGCACCTCACGTACTAACTGTATTCCAGTTGTATCACATCTTTAGCAGTGTCGAGATGGGTAAGTGGGCTCCAGGACCGTCAAGCTGATTCATCCATGAAAAACTCCCCACTCTGACTTTTTGTTTGTTTGGGGGTTTTTTGTTGTTTTTTGTTTGTTTGTTTGTTTGAGACAGGGTCTCGCTGTGCAGTGTAGGCTGGCCTTGAGCTCATTTTGTAGCGCAAGCTGGTCTCAAATTCACAATGATCCTCCTGCCTCAGCCTCCCGAGTGCTGGGATTACAGGTGTGCGCCACCGTGCCCAGCTTACTCTTGCCTTTCATACAGTGATTTGAGCATTCATTGTGACTATTGAGATTCACTTCATTTGTGATTACAAAATGATGATTTCAGGTAATTCTATAATTGCTTTTTTTATTAGCTAGACTCATCCTATAAAGAAAGACTTGGTTATACGAGGCAAAGTGGAGGTCACCCCCAGTACTCTGGGAGGCAGAGGCAGAAGGGCTACAGTTCCGGCCAGGCCTGGACAAGTTAGTCATTTAGCAAGATCCTGAATCAAAATGAAAATTGGGGTGTGGGCCATTGTTCAGCCCGTCACATACAACAATCCTTTTGTTTTACAGGTCAGTTTGCTGAAAACGAAACCAATGAGGTCAATTTCAGAGAGATCCCTTCACACGTGCTCTCGAAAGTCTGCATGTATTTCACCTACAAGGTTCGCTACACTAACAGCTCCACCGAGATTCCCGAGTTTCCCATCGCGCCAGAGATAGCGCTGGAACTGCTGATGGCCGCGAACTTCCTAGATTGTTAAATAAAATAAATTATAACAAACTGTTAATTTTTCAGTATTTAATACTTGTAGTTCAGTTAGTAATTTTTTCATATATAGCATGTTGCCTGTCTGCAGTTGAACTATACAGTTAATTGCAAAGCAGATTATCTTCTGTTTTTTGCATAGCAGAGTTATTTGTTTGCCACATCAGCAAATTAAGGACGTTTTCACAAACAGAAATAAACAGATATGCCAATTCGTAGGTGGTTTTGCCTTATCTTTTGGATGTAACTTTTAAAATTAGAATAATGATGATATCACAAATGCTGAAACATAGGCATAAATGAACATGTTCTACAGGTAAAATAACGGGACTTCGTATTTTTATGTTTTTTGTGTTTTTTTTAAAAAGTTCTGATCTTATAGCTACTGATAAGCATTACTAGTTATGCAAATAATTACATGATGAACATTTATAACTTAGTCAAAACATTTTATATAACTCTCAGAGAATAAGAGTTTTTCTTAAATGTGTTTTTTTATAAACTGCAGTATTGTTTAAATGCATTGTGTTTTGTTTATTGCTACAATTTAAGAACTTAATTTAAAAGCTAGTTTGGAAGGTTACTAGTTACAACTTTCGGGGCTGTACCTGTGTGAACTGTAGCCAGACGGTCAGCAGGTGAAGAACCTGACTCGAGGGTTCTGTGTGTGGTGCGTCCGGGCATCCAAAGTGCTGCAGCCTCACGTTACATTCTCATAGCGCTCCCGCTGTGACTGTCTTCTTCCTTCACGGTCCCTTTTCAGGATGCGTCTGCCTCTTTCCGTGTGTATTAACACTCTGTGAACTGTACCGAAACCTTAGAGGCAGGCGGTTCTAGTCTTCCTCCACCCAGCTGGCATGTTGTAAAACAGAAAGATGTGGAGAGACGCAGTGAACATTTTACAGTACACTTACATGTGGTACATAAGTTATCTCCTAATAATTACAGTAAGTTCCAGTAAGTGTAGTACCATCAGCAGTGGGTTTCTGGTATCAAACTCATATAAGTCATGCCAGGCGTGGGTGGCACACCCCTGTAATCCCAGCATGCAGGAGGCTGAGCAGGGTTGTGAGTTCAAGGCCAGCCAGAACTACATAGCAAGACCCTGACTAAAAGAAAAACTACAAGGGAGCATCTTTATTTAGACGTGGGAACAGAGGCACTGGAGTTGAGCTTAGTGTTGTCTGTCTTAGAGCTATCATAGGATCTGTAAACATAATGTTCAGCTTGTTTCTCATCAAAACGAGCTAAAGCTGGCTGTGGTACCACACACACTTGTGACCTCAGCTATTTGGGAGAATCACAAGGTTGCAGCCAGCCTGGACAACTTTTTTAAGACTCTCAAAACAGAAAATACCCAAAAAAGAAAACCTAGTACTTTCCAGCTAATTCAAAGCAGTTGCGTATTTTTAAAGCAAGTTCTTAAGACATTGATACGTACTTTAGAAGATTATCAAGTATAATAATTACGTTATGGGGCTGGGGGTGTTCTGTGGTAGGCATAAAAATAGTTTGCTACTTGGCAGCGAAAACATCAACTCTAAACATAAATGATGATTTCCAAAGAGGACAGCTAGAAATAAAGTCAAACTCTGACCAATTTTTGTAGATGACTTTGTATTGGATCCAGAAGTAGCCTTGAGTTTAGGACATTAAAACTGAAACAAGACTAGGCAAAGCTGTGTGCTTTTCAGCAAATAGCATGTTAATATCTGTTGGTAGAAGGGTATGGCAAACACTTGGTATTTGAAATTTTATTTTATTTTATTTCTTGTTTTTTTGAGATGAGGTCTCACTGTGCAGTTCAGGCTGGCCGTGAGCTCACTTCGTAGCCCAGGCTGGTCTCAAACTCTCAACAATCCTCCTGCCTCAGCCTCCCAAGTGCTGGGATTACAGGCCTGCGCCACCACGCCTGGCTTTTTTTTTTTTTTCTTCACGGGGAGTTGTACTTGGGACCTTGTGCTTGTCAGGCAGGTGCTTGTGCCGCTGAGCTTTATCCCCGGCCCGGTATTTGAACTTTTTGGCCTTATCTCTCCGTGAAAGGTTCATGCAATCTTTTGCTTCAGGGTACCTTGCCATTTGATGTGGGAATTGTTTTGGTCAAATTTAACATAATATATAGTAGTGAAACCTTACCGGTTTTTTGGTTCTGTTTTTTGGAGACAGGGTCTCACTATGCAGTTCAGGCTGGCCTCGGACTTGCAGCAATCCTCCTGCCTCTCGCATGCTGGAATTACAGGAGTGCGCCACCGGGCCTGGCTATCTTACCCATCTTAAACTCATAGAAAGTAGCTTATTTTTAAAAATTATGTGTAAATCTTTCCCCCAGTTTTTTCTGTACAGAAAATAGTACAAAATCATTATTCAATCAATGTTTCAGTTTTGCGTTGTCTAGGTTATGCTTTTTCAATTGCTTATCTTGCAGTTATTAATGGTCCCTTTTTGATGGTACTTGTTGGTGTTGAACGTAGAATTTATGTACAGTAAATTCAATTCATGCTGAAATACATTTAGACATCTTGTTATGATTGTGTTATGCATGGATCTGTCATCTTAGTACAAATCATTTTGCTAAGCTTATTGATTCTTCTTTGAAAAGAGTAAAAATATTCTGAATTATAATATAAAATTACCGTTCAATACTGACGTATTTAAACCCAAGTAGTTGCTGCCTAAATAGAGGAAATTTTCGTGTACATCAGCGAGGCTTGACTATCCGGACTGTGCAGTGCCCCGTTGAGCTCAGGTTAACTGAGTTTGATGAAGTGCACAAGGGGGTCGGGGATGGGATGGGTGGAGGGCTTCCCTGCGTGCCGGCTTTGGGTTCCATCCTCAGCACCACACAAAACCCACCTACGGTCTAGTACTCCAGAGATGCCAGATTTTACACAGTATTTTTTGCAGTCTATAAATCTGGTTTAATATCAGGCGAGTTATATTTGTGCTGGTGTTTTGTATTCCTTTTATGGTAGATTCTTACGGAGTATACTTGATGATTTGTTGGTACGGGGAAATACGTGTTAGCCTCGAACTGTTTGGTATATCAGAGCACAGACCTGAGTGTGGGGAAGTCTGGGCCTTGTTAGCCGCTTGAACAGTCTGTGGCCTCTCAGCTCTGTAGAAGTGGGAAGTTGCGCGTCCACAGGGTAATGTTTCGCCCCCTTATTTCTGTAGTGAATGAGATTGTGACTAATGCTTAAAACCCAGGTTATAACATATCAGAATTACAAACTGCAAAGCGGGGTTTTGCTGCTTCTCTCTTTGGCAGTGTCACACACCGGGCCCTGACCAGGGGCTGTGGTTCAGGAGGCCGCTCGCCCCTGCTGTGTGTGAGGCTGTGGGTTCGATCGCTAGAACCACTAAGAGTAATTCAAAGTCTTTGAGGTTACTTTTTTCTGCTTGGTATATGTAGAAAATCTAGTTTTTAGGCCTGGTTGTCAGTAATTGGCTAATAGAAAAGGAAATTTTTAAGGTAGGTTTGTTGGTACATTTTAGGTGTACATAATGATCACATTCATTAGAGAGAACTTGTACCTGTACGGGATATAACTTGATTTTTCCCCATTCCCCTACCCTCCCTACAATCCCTCTTCCTGCTTACAAAAGCTTTGTTGCCTTTTTTTGGAACTTTTCATGCTCTGGTTCCATTCCAGTGTATTTAATGACTGCTCAACCTAAACCTCATGTTTCGCTCAGTCACTAACTTAGTAATTTATCCCGAACTAGATGCATTTATGATTCTGTATGTATTTCGTGTGTCTAGCTGAGAATACGGTACCTTTCCAGTGTAGGGATTGAACCCAGAGCTCATGCATGCTGACTAACCAGTGTCCTCCTGTGGGGCCACATTCCCAAGCTCCGCCTTTTGTGTTTTTACATGTTGCTCTCATCAAGGACGCAGGCACGGGTCGTCCCGCCCCTGTGATATAAGTACTTGCTTTTGTTAGTTTTTGTTAATCTGCGTAGCCCAGAGTGGCCTCAGACTCGTAAAGCTCCTGCCTCAGCCTCCCCAGTAGCTGGGATTAGTGGTACATGCCACTGTCTGCTCAGTTTTTGATACAGAAACATTTCACTGTATTTGACCTACATATATCTTATATGTGAAAATTTTTGTGATAGGCTATATAGCTTTATTATTTAGGAAAGCATGAGGTTTGTTTGTTTTGCTACTGGGAATCAAACACAAACTCACGCTTGCCAGGCAGATGCTGTGCCACTGAACTATATCTTAAAATGACAGATCAGGATAAGAAAAATTCCAGTTAGGTGACTTTCTGTGTAGTGCTGGGATCAAACTCAGGGCCCCACGCAAGCTAAACCGGTGCTCTGCCACTGACATAGCCCACTGCCTCAAATTTGTTGGCTTCTGAGCATCTAAAATCATTCCATCAGAACCTCCTGTTACATCATGAAATAAAGTTTGTGCTTAATCCTCCCCCTGCATACTGACTGGCTTAGCCTCACTGTTAAATTTTGGCATGGACTTGATTGTATTCTTGAGCCAGTGTAATGTCATTTTTGCTCTAGAATACTTTCAGAATTTCTGTGTAGTCGCAAGTATGATTTTGAGTTGTTATGTACGCGTTCTTTAGGCCCTCAAGGCGGTTGTCTTTTCCATAGTTTCATTCAGGTACTTTTGAAAATAAAGCTTTATTTAGTTTCTTAGAGCCACCATTCATATCAGCCAATACGGCCTGTCTTGTTTTTTGAGGTTTTTTTAAAAGAAAAATCGAAGACGAAACTGCAAGAGCCGGGTGTGGTGGCACACGCCTGTAATCCCAGCACTCGGGAGGCTGAGGCCGGAGGATCACTGCAAGTTCGAGGCCAGCCTGGGCTACAAAGTGAGCTCAAGGCCAGCCTGAACTGCAGAGCGAGACCCTGTCTCAAAAGGAGAAAAAAAAAAACAACTTTCAGTAGTCCAAGGTCACAGAGTAATTTGCAGTGAGATACTAGATCCAGACCTTAGTGCTGGTTATATAAAACATGTGCTCGGCCTAGTGGCATATGCTGCAACCCCAGCCCTCAAGAGGCTGAAGCTATGAGCTGGAGGCCAGCCTGGGCTAGGTAGTGAGTTCAAGGCCAGTCAACTGCACAGTGAGATCCTGTCTCAAAAAACAAGATGCTTAGATTGTAGAGAGCTACGTCTGTTAAAATTTTGAGATATATAAAATACTAAAATGGGGTATAGATAGGGAGTTAAGTGCTTATACCCTACATACTTT